GAGAGTGAGCACCAAGAGGATGTCCCTGTCCTATAAATAGCGATCCCGAATCAGAAGGGCTTACTATGCCTGGCATAACGTCGATCCAATGAGATGATACGGGAGTTGCAGGAGACGTAAGCTGGACAGGCCGCGGTAAGGGTGGAGATGGGTGTGATAAAAGCAATCGTCCAGAATTGTCTGATAAACAATTCGAAGGAGCAGAATGCTGGTCTCCGAAATAGGGAGAACCTTTTATATGTAGAGAAGAAAGATATGATTTTATGGACGCTGTAATAATTAGTTAGAAAATCATTCATAGTCAAATTGTAGGTCCTCATAGATATGATGGATTTTATCGAAGCTCACACTTATTCTAAGTATAAAAGTATATTTCTAATTAACGCAAGTATTACAATAAGAAAAATCTATATTTTATTGAGTGGTATTGCCCCGAGGGATAAAAAGGAACGAACCATTCTATGATCGTGCGCATTGAGTAGTAGTGTTAATACACCGCAAAAGCGAAAGTTACAAGGGGTCGCTTAGCCTACATAATGCATCTGAAAGTAGTTGTCTATTAGCACTTGATTCCAGGCTTAGTTTGTCATTTTCGAGTAACGAATCTCCCGAAAAATTTAGAAGGACATATGAGATAACATTAGCAAGAAGCGTTCTCAAAACGATGATTGTCACGCAAACCGTCCTCTGGGGACCTATATCTGGCTTCATTTGGAAGCACTACTATGAAGATGGGTTGCTTTAACTTCCTGCTTCTGAATTAGGCAAAGCACAAAACTCATGTCGCGCATGCCATCAACCTTACCTAGTATTAAGTTTCTACTCATTTGTGCATTGTATATTGCTAATAACTACCCTTGCCAGACATATAAAGAGCCATCTTACGCTGCAGACGCAAGCATCCCAAAACAATTAACCTATTTACACGTGGACAAATAGATATTATGCCCCCCGTCAGTTGCCCATCAAAGTGGATTTGATATAGGTCCAGATTATAAGTTTAGCATCCCGACGTATATGATCCTTTATTTTTATATTCACAGGTGGACCCACTTCGGTAACTATTTGAAGCAGATTCTAGATTTGACTCCTCTTATAGAAATAGCCTTCTTTTGACTTTAATTTGTCCCTCTTCTCGTTCAATAGATGCCATTGGCGCACGACTCTCCTAACTGTCCTTGTTGAGTCCCAAAGTAGTGCACTTTGCCAAATAACTCATGAGTTAAGTCGTGTCATAATTAAAAATTGTGAATCGACAGAATATCTCTGTATGACTGTTTTAACGTTAACCATTTAGAAAATATTCATTAGCAAGTGGATTACAATGAGTTTCCGTAGCCGATTGGGAAGATAACTGGGGTGAGCGCCAGGGTTCATTTGACCCAGCCAGCGATGAATCCATTTGACGAAAACGAAGGTTAGGCGATGCCTGATCATGATTGATGGAAAGTCGATGCTGAGTGCTCGGTTGCTGAGAGCTTTGACAAATCTGGGGACAAGTAGTCTGAAAATGTTTCTGCTGTTGCAGTATTCGTTGTCTTAATTGCTGGGTTCTCATAGTCGCAGTCTGAGAATAGGTCAGATAAGCAGGTTGACTTAGGGACTCAGGCTCTATAATCACCTCCTGGACGGACGTCGACGAGGCAGCACTAGGTCCTCGTATCAGGCAGCGATCCGCTTCTCCAGATTCTGGTTGCCAAGATGAGCCTATAGGAGTTGATGTGGATAGGCAGGCCTCATCAGAACGGATTGGGACTGCCTGAGAAGATAAAGATAAATTGGAGGGTGGCCGCGGATGACCGACTGTCCACTGACAAGACTCTTGACCACCCAATGCATTAGAGACTAATGGCCGGTGGTAAGTCGCAGGTGGAGAGCAGCCAATGGTTGAAGTCGCTTCTTTCACAGAATTGTAGGTGTGGAGTCTATGTGAGTCAGCTGAGAGTGACACAGGGATATGAAGGCTGTCTGTAATTGCGCTGGAGACTAGTTCTTGAGAGCCGAGTGCAACGAGAGGCCCAGGCTGGGCTCGCTCAACCTCCTCCATCATGTGGACGGGTGCATGTTTGGAGTTGGGAGTAACCACAATATCAGATGGCTGTGGCATAGGAAATAGGGAACTATAAGGCCTCGGGATAGACGGAATTTGAGATGAATTTGAATTGAGCGCGTAACAACCAACATTGGAAGTCTCTGCAGATATGCCTGAATGAGTATGCTGAATATTGTTTAAGTGAAAAATATAATAAAATTAGAACAATCGCTATAAAAGTATCGTGTAGATTATTGTATAGTATGTATTATTGTAAAAGTAGTAAGGTTGAGGCGCGGTAGTAGTATCGCTTGTATAGGTTACGTCGATGTACAAGTGATGAATAACGTTTAAGAGATGTATTTATCATATTTCGTTTAAATTTATAAGAACAGGTAATCTCGAAAACCTACTTATTGAGGGAAAATAGGCAATTTGTAGATAAAAAATTCTTCATCGATAAGGGGCCACCAGTCTCTGAACGGCTAAAAAGTTAGTTTCGGAAGAAAATTTAACCAGAAAGTGGGCACAATCTGTCTTTTTCTCAGTTTAGAAAGTATAAACATTATTTAAATACACACCATGTAGCAAATCTGATGAAAGAGAGAACAATCTTATTGTGACTTGATTCTTCATTTTGTAAGGAATTCGTAAAGGAAGATTGACTTGGAGTAGACTATTGAATAGTGAGAATAAATCCCAGGTTCATCGTCCTGTAAATCCGAGTGACCCGTGCTGAGCCTTTTTCTAGCGTGTGACGAACATTTTCACAGCAAGAAACCATACGTTACGAAATAGTGCACCAATATAAGAAACCAAGAGCATATTGGTGCGCTATTTCGTAAGGTATGGCTTTCTTGCTAAAACGATATTTGTCGCATGAAAGATGCAGGCTTATCACTGTTTTATAAGTGAAAGGACGGTGAGCCGAGGACTTCTCAGCAATCTTCCTCCAGTTTCAGGTGAGACCAAATGACAAATTCCTTCTAATCTACTTTTCTTCAAGTCA